TCTCACATATAAAGCCTTAAATGGCCAAGCTCCATTTTAAACAGATATCTGATTGTTCCTTACGTTCCTAACATATCACTTTTCTCTCAATCTTCAGGTTTACTAGTTGTTCCTAGAATTTTTAAAAGAAGAATGGGAGGCAGATGTTTTTTTTAGTTATGAAATCATGATTTCAGGTTGTGAAGCCAACTTAAAAAGTGAGATTGTACCTACATGACTTTAATCACATATTTTTGTTGAGATTATGCTACATTAAGGAGACTAGAAAAATATATGTTTTCTAACTCTATATAATGTTATTAAATGTCTTGAATGGAAATATTGAATTTATAGTAGTGTTATGATGCTAGCATAATACTTACAGGCTGCATTAAAGATATAATTAGTATGTTTGATATATGCCTGTGTCTAAGGTATTGTTAATCAGCATGAAAAAATGCACATAGAGCAGTCCTGTTACTAAGGTGAGCTTCTCTGCTGGTTAGACACTCCCACGAGGCGGTACATGTTCCAGGCTGCACCATGAGTTAGTCTACACTCACTACAGATGCTGCTCTTAGCTCAGTCCTACGTCTTCCTGTGTAAGAGCAACAGGTCTAACAGTGAAAGCCATGGCGGTATTCCGGATGAGGAATCTGCACAAACGGAAATACACGCTCTTTTGCCTGGTTATTGGTTGCTTCATCATCTATAAGTGTCTAGGGTAAGTGTTGCTTGTTCTTGGTTAGTTCATGTTTCTATTCATTAAGCTATTTGTCGTCAGTAGTCTACTTGTTAAAGGTTTGTGTACATTTCCAACAAATATTGTATTTAAATCTTACAGTATTACTCATTTGGAGTAAGGACAAGCAGTAAAACGTAGATTTCATAAAACTATTGAAAGTTATTTAGGAAGGTAAATCTAAACATATTCATATGCACATATCAAAATCTGTTTAGACTCTACACACGATATAGTTCAGCGTCTTTGTTATGATTTTTGCCAATTCAAGACATCTGCAAATTCCTACAGAGCATGTCATGTGGTCAATTCAAGAACAATAGCCTGTGTGTCACATAACCTGATTGTAACAGGAACTATGCACAGCTTCTTTTCCAGCACGCCACAAACCGGCTGGAAGAGGAGCAGAAAGGTGGGCCTGAGGGCCAATTCTTCACAGTTCACCCTGGAGCGAGAACCCTTCCGCATCCTTGGGGGATCTGTTCACTATTTCCGTGTGCCAAGGGCGTACTGGAGGGACCGGCTGATGAAGATGAAAGCCTGTGGGATCAACACCCTCACCACGTAGGGATTATGCATGTTTTGTTTTGTTTTTGTCATGAAGCCCTTTCCTTTAGCTGAATGCTAATTTGTGGCATCCTCACAGATATGTTCCATGGAGTCTTCACCAGCCAGAGAAGGGGGTTTTCAACTTTCACACACAGCTGGATTTAGAGTAAGGAGAATATGGGTTTACTTGTCTTAACTATAGAACATGTAGAAGTCCATAAGCTGCTTGGTATATCAAGAAATCTACATCTCAAAAGAAAATTCCTGCATTGTTCCACTAGTTGTCATAAAAATAAATATTTTTTAAGCCTTTAAGGAATATTCTCGTCATTTAACCCCTAAAACTCAAGGGAGAAAAGAGAGTGGGAGCCCCACCTGACAACAGCCTAATCTCCACAACAAGAGCAAATTATTAAAGCATGTATCCACAAGGTGAAGAGGGATGTGATGCCACCATTTGCTGCAATGCTTTCCAGGCACTTTTCAAAAGCCCTTGTATTTCGGTCTTATCATGAGTCTTAAGTTTGTGATCTTTCTCTGATTGGCAGATCGTACCTTTCTCTGGCAGCTGAGCTTGGGTTGTGGGTTATTCTACGTCCTGGGCCATACATTTCTGCGGATATGGACCTGGGTGGACTGCCAAGGTAACCCTTTTTTTGTTTACATGAAACCTCCTTGAAGATTTATTGATTTTCTTCTATTTCAAAGTCTTTTTTTTGTTTGGGAAAAAAATAATCTGCTGTCAAACGATTAGTTTTCTTCCCATGTCAATGTGAGCCTAAATGTGAGAAATAGGCATTTTTTAACAAGATCTGTTGGCTTCATGACATATGTGTGTTTTGCCCCGTATGTGTATTGGCATGAGTTGTGAATTGGGATTAGCGCACACGGATGCAGTGTGGGTTACTGCATCAGTAAGCGGTTGGTTACTTTTGATGCAATGTCATCAACTAATTTTCCCTTTTTCCAAACTCAATAAACACCTGACCACCAGGAAATGAAGGCTAAATGACCAAAGAGTTTGGAGATTATTAGCTGGAATAATATCAGTGTAGGTCAGGCTGCCATGCATTGGAGCCACTCTGGATACTTGGCATGAGAGGTGAGATTATCTTCATTAGCACAGATAGAGTGTTTGCATGGTGAACCTTAAAATATTCTAGCAGCAAGGCTGTTTCCTTAGCAGTCGTCCAGTTGTAACATTTGTGCTTGCAAAGTTTAGTGATTTGTAAGAGAAAAAAAAAATAACATTAAATCTGTGACAGCATGGTTTAGCAGTTCAAATTATACCTGTTGGTTGCGGATGTACAATTCTGTCAGATGTCAATGTGTGCCTTAGGTTTAGATCTGCTCTTGCTACTGGTAGTGTAAAGTACTTTGAATGGTCAAACTACAAGAGGATCCGTATTTAGTTTTTAATTTTATTTTAGATATATTATTTACATAAAAGTGTATTACTTCATAAAATACTTAAACAAAACACAGATGCAAGGCTTTTTTGTGTGCAGCTGGCTCCTTAGAGATGACAGCATGAGACTAAGGACAACTCACCCAGGCTTCACTCAGGCTGTTAACACTTTCTTCGACAAACTTATACCGAAAATGGTTCCACTACAGGTTATTTTTCATATTTTATTTGGAACCAAGTGTATCTAACATCAATTCATTTCCCTGGCCTAAAATATTTGTTTGTCTATTCTAGTTCAAGAAAGGAGGTCCCATCATTGCAGTGCAGGTTGAAAATGAATATGGATCCTTTGCAAAGGATCAAGGCTATTTGTTATTTATTAAAGAGGTAAGTTTACTTGCTCATATTAAAACTTTTTCATCTTAAATACATTTGTTCTGATTTGTTCTGCCTCTTCTGTTATTTTTCTTTATGTTGAAAGGCTTTACAGTCCAGAGGAATCAGTGAGCTCCTGCTCACATCAGATAACATCAACACATTGAAATCAGGGGGTGTTGATGGAGGTACATGTTAGTGTTTTCACCTATAGATACAGAAAAAACTTTTAAAGAATAACTTGTTTTCTGTTCTCTCGCAGTTATCCGATCAGTAAAGCTGCAGAAGCTGACTCAGAGAAACATCCAGGAACTACACGGCATCCAGGTCTATAATCTTTTTTTTCACATCAGTTTCCTGTTTGTTTTTAAAAATCGGAGAATGTGCTTTATTTTTATTTTGTTTCTCTCTCTCTCTCTCTCTCTCTCTCTCTCTTTTTTTTTTTACTTTTTTCCCCCCATTTTTTCCTCTTTGCACTTGATAAGGCATATAGAAGAAGTTTTATCGTCTCCCTTTTATCTCCTCTTTCTCTCATCTTTTCTCCTTTTCTTGTTTTTCCTTTCCTGTTCTTCTTTCCCATTGCAGTGTCCATATAATCTGAAATACTCCCTGCATTAATTATAATCAAGCTATTTACATGCATAAATCAAGCAGAACACTAAAAAAAAGAAAAAAAGGAAAAAATTGGGGGAAAAAAAGGGAAAAAATGTTAATGTACAATATCCCTTGCCCTGGTTTTCAGCCCAGAGGTCCTTCCATAGTGATGGAATACTGGACAGGCTGGTATGATACATGGGGAGGCCTTCACCATGTCCTGCCTCCAGAAGGTAATTCATGTCCTCAATGTTAGTGTTGACTTTCTTGACCAAGTTTCTCCTGGTTTTTTACCAACGTTTCTTATTATTGCTCATTGCTATTGTTGCTCATATTTTTTATTACTTACTCTCTTACTCTGTTGATCTATAAAGACATCTTCTCAGCATACCAATGCCTAATGCTGTATTTGTTTTCAAGGAAAGTCTGAATTCCTTTCATTTCTGCCTTATTAAAAAAAAATCCTTATTTTAGCCAGACTTATTGAATCTCATCTGACTGACATTGTAAGGATTAGGCTAGTTTAGTGAAAATCATGTCTCCCAAATGCCAACATTTTTGATAGTTAATAGTCAAAACAAATCAAATCAATCACCCAATGTCACCTTATTAACAGAATGTAACACAAAATAAGTGTGAGGTCAAGATGGCCTTCCAACATAACCTTTTAACACCAGGTTAAGATATATGATAGATAAGTTTTGGATATTTTTGCTTTTGAAAAAGAAAATCAAGATCCCATTATTACTAACATGTTGATAGAAATAGGTTGTTCTTGCAGTTTTGCATTATCTCTTTGTTATCATATTATCCTACCCATGAAATAATGTACTATCTGCTATAGGCATGACTAACTTTGGACTGAACTGGATTTGTAAGCATAAGAAAGCCAACTGTAAAAACAAGGGGTCATAATGCTTTAGCACCTAACAATAGATGATGATTTTGAATATTCCTTAATAGGTTTTGAAAATAGTTAATAACTTTGGTTTTTCAAAATTAAAGTAGTGAAACTGTCCATAGAAGGATTAATCTTATGATGCTATAAGGCTTTTTGAATAAGACCTTATGTGTATATGTTGCATTTCGTTATAGATATGGTGTCCAATGTGAGGGAAATTCTGAGAAGAGGTATGTCTGTCAACCTGTACATGTTCCATGGAGGCTCCAGCTTTGGTTTCATGAATGGAGCAGTCTCTAACCCCTCCTACAGAGCGTTGGTCCCCAGCTATGGTGGGTAAGCACAAACAAAACAGCCACGGCTTGCATGCAAATCTTTACAGATTTAGCTTGATTGATGAAGCGCTGATGTTACATATCTCAAGAATGCAGTGTTTCTGCTGTAATAACCAGCAGGTGGTGGTAGAGGACAGTTACTGTGTCTGATGCTTTCCAGATTATGATGCTCCCTTATCTGAAGCTGGGGAATACACCCCTAAATTTCATCTCCTAAGGGATTTATTTTCTCAATACAACAGTAAGTTAATCTCACATTAAACTTTAAACTATAAACGCAACCAACATTTTTCCTATAGTGGTGGTCGTGTTTATTATTATTTCCAACAGTTTTGCTCAGACATGTTTATAGATTCTGTCCTACCAAACAGGGGTTTTTTTAAGGTTTCTCTGGCTTTACTTCTGTTTATGTTCTCTAGTTGCTGCCATATAGGCCATCTGTTAAATCCTGTGTTGTTGCTATTTATCATAATCTCTTAGATTTGTTTCCATCTGTCTCCTCTCATGTATTACTCTCAGCTCTCTTTCCCTTCACTATCCCTTCATTAGATTCAGCTGCTCTTTCTCTCTACTTCATCACTCACCTGCGTCTGCAATGCCATTTTTCAATTAAATTAAATGTTATTTGTATAGTGCCAATACACAACTCATGTCATCTCAAGGAACTTTACTCAGACAATTCAATCAGAACTTCCAGTCAGATGGATTAAAAGTTTATATCTAAGAAAGACCAGCTGATTGCATTCCGTCACAGACTTAGAAGCATACGCTCCCCTTGGTGAGCATGTGGAGACAGTAAACATTAGCTTGTATTGTATCATTGAGTGCACAGCAATCCCTCACATGTAGTATACATACAGCGACAGGAGAGAGGAAAAAAAAACCTTTCAACAGAAAGAAGCCTCCAGAAAAACCAGGCTCTTTGTGAGCAGCTTTCTACCAAAGCTGACTGGTGTTCATAGGAGACAGAAGGAGGCTTACAAAAAGCAACATAGAAGCACTCATTCATAAATACTTTGTATCTTAGAAAAGGTAATAGTAATCTAAGCTCCATAGATGGCTCTGTCCAGGAAAAAACAGTTTAGCAATGAACCACTTTTAATACCAAATGGAGTAAAATAGAAAATAGAAAAATTCTTAGTTCAATAAAAGCTGAGCCCATAGTTATGTCTGGGAGAGAAACAGAACTATGCACTGAAAAACAGGCCCAACTCCATAATCTATAAACTCAGGGGTTGATGACAGCAATGTATATTTTCCTTCAGGATGGTCGCACAGCAAAACAGAGAACATAAAGTTTGGGGTGGAACTAACTAATACAGAAGAATTGGAGAGTAGATATAGAATGAAGCATAATGATGAAAAGTGGTCCCTGTGTCCTCTAGCAGCCTAAAGCTATAGCAGCAAAACAATAGATTGGCGACAAAGCTGATTCAACAATTTTCTTTGTGTACAAGCTTCCTGGTTTTAATTGCTCTGTCCTGGTTTACTCCATTGCTGTATCTTAATGTCACCCATCTGGTACCATTGCCATTTTCTGTCCATGCTGTATTTCCTGTTCTTTTTTATTTTAATCTGCACTTATTTGTTTTCATTGTCATTAAATACTCTTCACCTCAGGATCTGCCTTTATTTGAGTCACTTTGCAGACCAAACAATATGCTTTGTCCGTTTAATTTTTATTGCCATAAGTTTCACGATTATCTACTAGTTTCTGTTGGCATTTCAAATAACATTCCATTAAAATATATATAGAAGTTTGCAGTTTTAACATGATTGAATATGTAAAAGTTTATAACTTTTGCAATGTGCTGTCATCGCCTGACATTGTGGCCTGATTAGTTATTTTATCTTTGTTCAGCAAGAGGAGACAGCCTTCCAGACATGCCGACACTGAGATACAGGGAGGCGTATGAACCTGCCATTATGTACCAACATCTGTCATTATGGGATGCCTTAAGCTTTGCTGAGGGTGTGAGTTTTACATACAATGATAGGCAAATTACTGTCTAACAGAAAAAAGGTTTGCTTACCAGTCAGATTTTTGTTTTCTCTTCAGCCCTTCAAGTCGACCAAGCCAATAAACATGGAAAATCTGCCAGCAAACAATGGCAATGGCCAGTCATATGGCTACACACTGTATGTGACCACCATCACCAGTGGAGGGTCATTACACTCGGGTGACAATGTTCGAGACCGTGCCCTGGTGCGTCATGATTGGTTCACAGCAAAGTTTAATCTCAGACTTAAAACACTTTCATGGTTATTTTACTTTGTCATGTCGTATCTGAAAAATGGTCGTTATGTTTATTACTGCTGGAAGAAAAACATACCACTTGGGATTGGGAACGTTAGAATGAATAACTTTTTTGTTAACAATTAACTACAAATTTTTGGGATTCAGGCGTTAAAGACTAAAATACAAAATATTGAACAAAACTTGCTATGGCTTCTAGCATGCTCAATAATTGCAAGAAAAACTTGGTTAAAGTGTTTGACTGTATTGCTGGGGAACTGGCTCAACTACCAATTGAATTATGAAAGGGATCCTGTGAACTTTGATAAATCTGTGAGCAAGAAGTAATGACTTGATGTGGTGACCCCTAAATACAAAAGCACCCTAAAAGACACAAACATTAATCATTCAAGAATCAAAAAATAGAATGACTTGTAGAATTTGTGGAAAACAAGCATAAATTGTTTTCCAAGCTCCTCATGAACAAGTGGTAGATAATAATCTCTGAAACCAAGCCTAATATCAGTACATTTTCTTTTAGGTGGCTGTTGTTGCAAAAAAAAAAAAAGAGAGATCACCACTTGTTGTTTTTCTCAAACATCATAAATATAACTTTGTTCTCAATTAGTGCTGTAGGTTAGCCTATGCCTTAAATGATTGGGTTTTTCGGTTAACTTCTCAAGTTTAATCAAGCCTTTTTTATGAATATCACCAAAATATGGTGCAGAATCTATGAAAAAAACTACTTAACTTTAAGGGAACCAAAAGTGTTTAACTAAGAAATTACATATTACCCTCAGGTGTTTGTAGACAGAAGATATATTGGCGTTTTCAATCATCAGAACCTTGAGCTGGCTGTTCCGGATGCTAAGGTATGAGGAGGAAAGGTACCTACTTTATTAGCAGTGATAGAACCAGAATCTGTTTTTGATTAGGCATACAATTAACAAACCAATGATTTCTTCAGGAAAAACGTACCTTGAGCTTCCTGGTGGAAAACTGTGGACGAGTTCACAGTGGAAGGGACCTTGACAAACAACACAAAGGTAATCAGCTGAAATTACTGCGGCTCATTGTTTTGTCTGCTGTGAAATTATTTGATTTCTCTGAGGATATTTGATTAATTGCTTTGTATGTGTGTTAATGCAGGTCTAGTAGGGGAAATTTTATTTAACCATATTCCCTTGCGTGACTTTACAATATACAGTCTGGATATGAAACCCAGCTTTATTGACAGGTTTGTGTGCTTTATTAAATCCAACAACCTGCATAAGAATTTGAGCTGTATTTAAAAACAGGTTTGAACAAAGATATTTCAGTCTTTATCAGGCACCTTGGAAAAATCTACCAGAAAATCCTAGTTTTCCTGGATTTTTCATGGGGAGGCTGTTTGCATATGGCTATCCGAGTGACACATTTGTGAAGCTGCCAGTAAGTAAGATGAGGTTATTTATTTGTATAACACTGGCTCATTTGCACTTTTTTGTTTGATTTGTCTGACTGATCCTGAAAAGCCATCTACAGCTCACTAATCTATCTATATTTTCCTATGTTTTGTTTTGAATGTTAATGCAAATGCATGCAAATGTTTCAGGGCTGGGAAAAAGGAGTTGTGTTTATAAATGGCCTAAATCTCGGTCGCTACTGGTCAATCGGTCCTCAGCAGGCTCTCTACCTCCCTGGACCCTTTCTCAACAGTGGAATAAACCAGGTATGGCTATTTACAGATGGCCTTTTATTGCAGCAACATAATATAGTGAAACCATCCAACCTTT